GTTCCCTGAGTAGGGAATGAGACACTGCGTCCTCTAGGTTTCTTGCCATGCTTCGGACGCAAGCTTCAGACGAAGAAGTGGATGATGTGTTCTCCCGGTGCCTATTTATACTATAGTCGCACCGGTAGTGATGTCATGGCTGTCGCCGGCCAACGTGTTGTTGGTGTTTTTTCAATGTATGCTTCAGACACGGGTCACGACGAGGCGTTCCCCATAGCGACCCCTAGAGGACGCAGTGTCTCGTTCCCTACTCAGGGAACCATGGTTACATAAGTAACCTGAGATGTTTTGTTGATACCAACAATCTTCAAAATAACTTCTTTGGGTGAAAGTAAATATAAGGTATGTTAATACAATACTTAAAAGTAAAAAGTATGTGTGTAAATCTTTGTAGGGAGTTTTTTATCATCCTGTCTATTTTCTGTAAATCTGCTTTGGAATGATGCCTACTGTAAAAAAAAAAACACTAAAAATTATTTTGAGATAATATTTCAATTATTTGCTTTAGTACAATGGGAGATACGAGCTGGCTATTTATCAAACGACATGTTGTCTTTACAATATTGCTATTTTACACAAAGTAAATGCCTATAAATGGGACTGTATGAATATATGCCTTTTTTATATTTAAGCCTTCTCCAAATGGTGCTAGGGCTATGGGGAAAACTAAAAATGTTCCTTGGAGTCTGGGGATAAGAAGACAAATCGACTAAACTGAAAGATGAGCTCAGTTTATGTACCCTCGCCAAGCTGCCCACTGCACTTCCTTCTCTCTTGCCTGATTTGTTGTGTTGTTGCAGCCAGGCAATCTGACTGCTGCATTAAAGGAATAGTTCACCCAAAATTTGAAGCCGCATCATGATAAAGTTTTCAGGCATTGGATGCAATTGTATGAAAAACATATGGTAACATTGGTGTAGGGACCAATTCTCTCTGTTAACTAGTTGCTTATTACCATGCATATTACTAGCATATTGGTTATTTAAAGCACATTTTCTGCATGACCATATTCTGCATCCCTAATCCTACCCAATACCTAAACTTAACAACTACCTTACTAAGCAGTAATTAGGGGTTTACTGAGGCAAAAGTCATAGTTAATAGTTAATTAATAGCGAGAATTGGACCTTAAAATAAAGTGTGACCAAACATACTTATATATTTGACATAATTTATTTTGCAGCTGACAGTGTCTAATGATGTATGAGGGCAAACTATGGTGCTCTTTTAGAATAAAAATAGCTTTTTCAAGCCACTGATATGACTGGAGTGTACATCTCATGTGAGTTTATATTGGCTACATTTAACCAAACAGTAGCCTACCATTTATTGCGAGGTCGAACTCATAACCTTATGATCAGCGAGCCACCCTGTCACGCAGCACTGCTTCGGGTGACCCGAGTTTGAGTGCCGTCTGGAAGTCTCGATCCCTTCCACTCTCTCTCTCTTCTCAACAACTCCAAAAAAAAAACAATTCTGAAAAATACATCTTTAAAAGAAAAATTGTATTTACCAGGGCTCTTACTCTCCCAGTTATTTAAGACAGCTCGAGAGGTCTCTCAAGTGGTTAGGAGTTGCTAGATAGGGGCTTGTGATGGCGCTGAGGAGACAGAGACATGCGCGAATCTTTCAGGAGAGGAAGAATGTTCTTGAAATGTTTGACGACGAGCAGTTAATCAAACAGTTACATTTCCTCAGTTATTCAAACAGAAAACAAGCAAAGAATATTTACATTACCATAGAACATCATAACTGACTTCAGTCTAGCGTGAGTATTATATGCTTTTATATTTTAAAAACACTTTATATTTTAAAAACACGGGCATGTTGCTGGTGTAACCCACGGCAAAAGCCGAAGAAGAAGTGACTCGTCGGAGAAGCATTATAGCCGTGAGGCGGCAAATAAATATCAAATCATTAAATCCTTATTTAAAACTACAAAAAGGAGACAACAACGGAACAGGAGAAGATGGCATACTTTCAATCTCCACAAGGACTTGTACCAAGGCAGATCAACATTGTTTGTCGTGGACAACTACTGATGTATAATGCTATGTAGTATAATAAATGATAAGACACTTGTTCTTTGTTTTGTTTTATTTGATATAAGAAGGTGTAACATTAACATATATTAAAGTGCACATAAACACACACAAAACTCAAGTGGATCCGGAGGGAGGGGTTCTAGCAGACCAATTACAGCGCTTGCGGTCTGCGTAGAATTGCTGTTAGATTTTTGGAGAGGTGCACGTCAGGCTACGGCATAGGGTGTGCGTCTATGCGTAGGCTACAGCGTAGGTTCGACGCAGCAGTATAAATTGGGCTTTACGGCTCCGACACAGCCACTGGAGCTACTCACCACCCGCGCCGTGGCAAGTTTCTGAAGCGGCTCTCCGCGCTGCATCACTAAAGATAGGCACCTATATTTTTGAAGGATAATAATAATAATAATAATAATAATAATCGTCTTGCTGTCGTAAAAGAAATCAGCAACAGGCGATATCTCTGGCTATCATCGATACACAATACTATTGTCTACCGGCACAACCCTAAATTGAAGGTTGTGATGACGATTCGTTTCCTTACCATAATGTATTCTCTAGAAAATGTTTGATTGTCGAATGTGTGTTGAATGTAAACTCCTATTAGGAATTTAACCATTCAGTGTGAATTTATCTGAGAATATTCTTAAATAAGGAAATCTATTCAGCGATTGGTCCATGCGTATTTCGTCATCCAAAATCCCGTTTGTGGCACAGCAAAGTGTCGTGAATCAACTCTAAGACTGACACTATATACACTAATAGCATCATACATACGTCTATACACAAAGTAATATGAATTAATAAGGCTGATGATAGACTGGGCAACTTTTTGAGCAATGTTGCTGTCAATGGGCAACCAGGTGAGACACAGGGCCCATGACCGATCTAAAGTATTTGTTACCCATTCTCAATGGGAAAGTGCCCAAGCAACATTGCTCAAAAAAAGTTGGCCCTTGTATCATCAGCCTAAGATTTTGTGTTACTAGTTAAATTATTTTTGGATACTTACATTGATTTTAAATTAAGTAAATTAAGAAAAGGCAATACACAAAATAGAAGTCATCGCACAAAACATGAATACAAATATGACAATGTGATTGAAACCACAGTGCTGATTTTTCACTAGCATCACCTTATTCGTTTATTAGACTTAGAAGTTGTTTAGTTATCCTGGTATTATCAGTATACAGGCATAAAAAGTTGGCCAAGCTTTTCCAACAGATGTTTTAAGGCTGTTTGAAGCAAAAGTATTTAGATTGTTCCTTCTTTAGACAGAAGTAATTATTGGTGTTGGAGTCTTTTATTATTTTGATGGCAAACTCTCTCTTGTCTATTGTTTTTTTTTTCCTTCTGTTCAAGTTCTGTATGTAATCCTGGACCCAGTCTTCTACTGGAGAAGAGCAAATTTTGTTCCTCCCCACAGTTATGAATCTGTAAATAAATTGTATACATAAATTGTTTTAAAATTGTACTTTAAGACATACAATTCTAATAAGAGTCCATTAAGAATAGATTATGCAGTCTATCAGATAATAGTCGAAATATAAAAACAAGAAATAACAACAACAACACAAATGTTATGGTGTCCATGTAAATTGGAAATTTGGAGGGGGGAAAAAATACTTTAATTTTAGTCCTAAACTCACAGCACAGCTCTGATAGAGCAAAGTGGTGTTTCTTGAACTCTGTAGTCCACAATTTCATGAAATGCTGTTTTGTTTTTTGTTACTGCTAAGCAGCAGTCCTTGGTTGTAGATGATGTGACTTTAATAAAAACAGAAGCCAAGACTTATTATTTATAAAGCAGTAAACATGTCATGTTCATGTCAGTATGAGCCTACATACTCTCTCTAAAAAAAAAAAACACATATCATCACCAACTACTCCATATGTTACTGTTTCACACATCTTACATGTCACAGTACTCAGAGAAGATTCTGGGCTGTCTCTGGACACTGAAGTTGGTTGTATGGTTGTTTTGTTGATCTCTGTCTCCGGTCCAGATGTTTTGATCGTTGTTCTCCCATCCACTATCGCCTTTGCTTTTTTAGCCCAGATGCTGTCTGGATCTGAACAAATAGTTATGTTTTTCTTGGTGTGAAATCTGAACGTGGAAAAAAATTATACTTGACGTTTTAGCTCTCATCATTTAATTATCTGCACATTTATTACTGAGTCTGTGTAAAACTTCGAATTGGTATATATTACAATAACTCTAAACTTGCCTTACAGCTCTGGCAGGACATAGATTTGTTTCTTGCATGTCATAATGCAAAATTTTTTCAACTGGTATTCTGGTGTTTGTCACAGTATCACAGCAGTCTACTAAACGTCCATCAGCTGTTGAAGAAGAACATCATTGTATTGAGGTAAGTGATCATTATATTCACAGTATAAGATATAAACACATGTGCACTCTCTCATTAGCTACTATATCGGCTCAACTTCTCTACATTTCAGGTGAGTGAAAGTTACTAAAACCAGATGTTTTGATTGTCGTCACTATTGGTGTTACAGGTGTACTCGTGCTGGTCTCCGTCTCTGTTCCTGGTGTTTTGTTTGTTGTATTTACAGTTGGGATAATGTTTGTTGTACTTGAATAGCACATGGTAGGGAAGGTTTTGGGAAGGTTTTGTTTTCTTTCTCCCATCCACTATCCTCATCGCATTCTTAGCCCAGTTGTTATTAGGATCTGAACAAATAACTTTGTTTTTCTTGGTGTGGAATCTGTACATGGAAAAAAAAGGATACGAGACGTTTTAGCTCTCATCATTTAATTGTCTGACAATGTCTTACTTTGTGTAAAACTTAACATTGTGATAGATTATAATAATTCGGAACTTGCCTTACAGCTCTGATAGGACATAGCGGTTGATCTTGCATAGTATAACGCACAATGTATTCAGCTCGTATATTGGTGCGTGACACAGTAAGACAGCAGGGTACTGGACGTCCATCACCTATTGGAGAAGCACATCATTTTATTCAGATAAATTATCATTATATTCACAGTATAAGGTGTACACACGTACACTCTCTCTTAAAATACATTGCAGTCTGAAGTTCTCTACATTTCAGTTAATTGAAAGTTACTGAGGTCAAGCCACAATATTTAACCAAAGAGCTCATAATTAAAATAATCAAATCTCACCTGCTACCACAACACTCATCCATCCTATAGAGAAAAGAAAGGCAGCAAATAGAGTGAACTTCATCTTGTTCTGTTGCTCACTTCTAATCATGAAACTTTCTGCTGGGCTGAAGGGTCTATGTTGAGGGAGGTCTTTCAGCCCACAAAGCTCAGCACCCTCTGCGATCACTTTTCTTCGTCACCTAGGCCCACAGACACCTCAGTCGGGGACAGGAAAAGATGAGTGATGAGTGGAAGACCAAAAACGAGAGAGAAAGAGATGCATTTAACCACATAGAGGAAAGTAAGGGGTTACAAAATTCACAATGAGCCTATTACAGCGCTTGCGGTCTGCGTAGAATTGCTGTTAGATTTTTGGAGAGGTGCACGTCAGGCTACGGCATAGGGTGTGCGTCTATGCGTAGGCTACAGCGTAGGTTCGACGCAGCAGTATAAATTGGGCTTTACGGCTCCGACACAGCCACTGGAGCTACTCACCACCCGCGCCGTGGCAAGTTTCTGAAGCGGCTCTCCGCGCTGCATCACTAAAGATAGGCACCTATATTTTTGAAGGATAATAATAATAATAATAATAATAATAATCGTCTTGCTGTCGTAAAAGAAATCAGCAACAGGCGATATCTCTGGCTATCATCGATACACAATACTATTGTCTACCGGCACAACCCTAAATTGAAGGTTGTGATGACGATTCGTTTCCTTACCATAATGTATTCTCTAGAAAATGTTTGATTGTCGAATGTGTGTTGAATGTAAACTCCTATTAGGAATTTAACCATTCAGTGTGAATTTATCTGAGAATATTCTTAAATAAGGAAATCTATTCAGCGATTGGTCCATGCGTATTTCGTCATCCAAAATCCCGTTTGTGGCACAGCAAAGTGTCGTGAATCAACTCTAAGACTGACACTATATACACTAATAGCATCATACATACGTCTATACACAAAGTAATATGAATTAATAAGGCTGATGATAGACTGGGCAACTTTTTGAGCAATGTTGCTGTCAATGGGCAACCAGGTGAGACACAGGGCCCATGACCGATCTAAAGTATTTGTTACCCATTCTCAATGGGAAAGTGCCCAAGCAACATTGCTCAAAAAAAGTTGGCCCTTGTATCATCAGCCTAAGATTTTGTGTTACTAGTTAAATTATTTTTGGATACTTACATTGATTTTAAATTAAGTAAATTAAGAAAAGGCAATACACAAAATAGAAGTCATCGCACAAAACATGAATACAAATATGACAATGTGATTGAAACCACAGTGCTGATTTTTCACTAGCATCACCTTATTCGTTTATTAGACTTAGAAGTTGTTTAGTTATCCTGGTATTATCAGTATACAGGCATAAAAAGTTGGCCAAGCTTTTCCAACAGATGTTTTAAGGCTGTTTGAAGCAAAAGTATTTAGATTGTTCCTTCTTTAGACAGAAGTAATTATTGGTGTTGGAGTCTTTTATTATTTTGATGGCAAACTCTCTCTTGTCTATTGTTTTTTTTTTCCTTCTGTTCAAGTTCTGTATGTAATCCTGGACCCAGTCTTCTACTGGAGAAGAGCAAATTTTGTTCCTCCCCACAGTTATGAATCTGTAAATAAATTGTATACATAAATTGTTTTAAAATTGTACTTTAAGACATACAATTCTAATAAGAGTCCATTAAGAATAGATTATGCAGTCTATCAGATAATAGTCGAAATATAAAAACAAGAAATAACAACAACAACACAAATGTTATGGTGTCCATGTAAATTGGAAATTTGGAGGGGGGAAAAAATACTTTAATTTTAGTCCTAAACTCACAGCACAGCTCTGATAGAGCAAAGTGGTGTTTCTTGAACTCTGTAGTCCACAATTTCATGAAATGCTGTTTTGTTTTTTGTTACTGCTAAGCAGCAGTCCTTGGTTGTAGATGATGTGACTTTAATAAAAACAGAAGCCAAGACTTATTATTTATAAAGCAGTAAACATGTCATGTTCATGTCAGTATGAGCCTACATACTCTCTCTAAAAAAAAAAAACACATATCATCACCAACTACTCCATATGTTACTGTTTCACACATCTTACATGTCACAGTACTCAGAGAAGATTCTGGGCTGTCTCTGGACACTGAAGTTGGTTGTATGGTTGTTTTGTTGATCTCTGTCTCCGGTCCAGATGTTTTGATCGTTGTTCTCCCATCCACTATCGCCTTTGCTTTTTTAGCCCAGATGCTGTCTGGATCTGAACAAATAGTTATGTTTTTCTTGGTGTGAAATCTGAACGTGGAAAAAAATTATACTTGACGTTTTAGCTCTCATCATTTAATTATCTGCACATTTATTACTGAGTCTGTGTAAAACTTCGAATTGGTATATATTACAATAACTCTAAACTTGCCTTACAGCTCTGGCAGGACATAGATTTGTTTCTTGCATGTCATAATGCAAAATTTTTTCAACTGGTATTCTGGTGTTTGTCACAGTATCACAGCAGTCTACTAAACGTCCATCAGCTGTTGAAGAAGAACATCATTGTATTGAGGTAAGTGATCATTATATTCACAGTATAAGATATAAACACATGTGCACTCTCTCATTAGCTACTATATCGGCTCAACTTCTCTACATTTCAGGTGAGTGAAAGTTACTAAAACCAGATGTTTTGATTGTCGTCACTATTGGTGTTACAGGTGTACTCGTGCTGGTCTCCGTCTCTGTTCCTGGTGTTTTGTTTGTTGTATTTACAGTTGGGATAATGTTTGTTGTACTTGAATAGCACATGGTAGGGAAGGTTTTGGGAAGGTTTTGTTTTCTTTCTCCCATCCACTATCCTCATCGCATTCTTAGCCCAGTTGTTATTAGGATCTGAACAAATAACTTTGTTTTTCTTGGTGTGGAATCTGTACATGGAAAAAAAAGGATACGAGACGTTTTAGCTCTCATCATTTAATTGTCTGACAATGTCTTACTTTGTGTAAAACTTAACATTGTGATAGATTATAATAATTCGGAACTTGCCTTACAGCTCTGATAGGACATAGCGGTTGATCTTGCATAGTATAACGCACAATGTATTCAGCTCGTATATTGGTGCGTGACACAGTAAGACAGCAGGGTACTGGACGTCCATCACCTATTGGAGAAGCACATCATTTTATTCAGATAAATTATCATTATATTCACAGTATAAGGTGTACACACGTACACTCTCTCTTAAAATACATTGCAGTCTGAAGTTCTCTACATTTCAGTTAATTGAAAGTTACTGAGGTCAAGCCACAATATTTAACCAAAGAGCTCATAATTAAAATAATCAAATCTCACCTGCTACCACAACACTCATCCATCCTATAGAGAAAAGAAAGGCAGCAAATAGAGTGAACTTCATCTTGTTCTGTTGCTCACTTCTAATCATGAAACTTTCTGCTGGGCTGAAGGGTCTATGTTGAGGGAGGTCTTTCAGCCCACAAAGCTCACCATCCTCTGCGATCACTTTTCTTCATCATAAATAAATCAATAAATAAATAAATAATAAGCCCTAAAAGTTGACCCTAAAAGAGTGCTGTAGCATTTTATTGGGATATTTTTAATATTTTTACCCAAGTGCTGGGTAGTTTTTTGGTATTCATAGTACTGATTCTAAATGATTATAGTATTCTAATATGGTATTTATATTTTTAATGTTTTTATTTAGTTACATAAACTGAGCTGACTTTATTTATGTTCAGAAAGATCATAGCACATGCTGATTTCTATCTTAAATATCTTAAAGTATCTAATATTTTTTCTATGATGGTGTTTTCATGGTATGTGTCCAAGAAACTTCGCATTTCTATGTTACCATGTTAAAAATATGGTAATAACATGGTACTTGTTTGTAAATATGCTGTAATTAGAGCTATACCTGATTACAGTGCATACAGTACATGGCACTATTTTCTGTAAAGTTCCAGTGGAATGGTGTTTAGGCCTATTGTGAAAAACAACCTAAAAATTAGTTAACAAGAGTTTGAGTCCTGTCCAGAGTTCGATTCTGGATCCTGTTCCACTCTTCCTTCATGTCTCTTCTCAACAGTTGTATGAGAAATATATATAGGAAAAATATGCAAAAAAAAAGACAACTAAAAGAAAAAGTTACTTAACGGAAATGTAATATTCAGTCCGCAACAAATATTCTCTAGGACCATACATACAAAACACAACTTAATATGGACAAGTACATTTTACTGTAAATGCATTTTATATTAATTAAAAAAAAAACACACAAAATACAAATAATCACACAAAACAGGTATAAAAAAATACAGTGTTTGGGAGCTTGTGATGGCAAATTCATACTTGCCTGTTTTTTTCAGTTTTTCGGTTTCTTTTGTTCTGTTCAAGATCTGTATGTAATCCTGGACCCAACTCTTCTTTGGGGGAAAGCAAATTGTCAAATTGTTTAGTTCTTTATAGTTCTGTAAATAAGCAAATATGTAGACAATGCACACACACACACACACACACACACACACATATATATATATATATATATATATATAGAGTGTTTT